ATGGCGCAGTCCTTTGTGACTGGTCCAGAGCCGTAGAGAGATTGGCTCTGGATTGGTCTACCGCGTACAGCTCGTGACGGAAACAAAACGCCCATTGACATGACGGAATGACAGCCCTGGAGACTTGTCAATACATAGAAAAGATGGTATCGATTGTACCTTACCAATTCGAGCCGGGGTCTGATAATGAAACGGTTGAAGTGGCTGATCGATAAGCTGACTGATTAGCAAGCACGACTGGAGCAGGACGTTTCTCAGTGGTAAGTGTCAAGTGTTAACAAGTTTGTGGTAATTATAAGATGTGATAAAACAAATTTCTCTCACAGCGTAGGATACAGCCTCTTCTCGACATGATGTTAACCACACGGAAATTTTACTGTTTGTGGGCGGGCAAGTTGGCGACGTAGAACGTGGGCGGACATTATGCAAATGTATTACTTCGTAACGTAGAGCCGTAACAGAATAAGATTCGAATTCCTGACGACTCGTTTATGCAATTGCGAGCCGACTCTTTGTTTTGATAGACAATAACTTTATTTATCGTGCACTGTCGGCTTCACAACTTTGCAGACAGTTTATGTTCACATACAGCTACATGACACTCTGCATGAAAGGTAATATTCGAAAAGGCATAATAGGGGCACTTTAAGAACAGTGTCTCTAGATGTTGATATATGCGTTTTATTTCCATATTTTTTAACATAAGACTATCCGTCTATCCATAGGGGCTGTTTACACACAGCTTGCTTTTGAATTATGTCTGCAGTGTGTTTTTTAAACATTAGTCCATGTACAAATGTGCATCAGTAGAGTCAAGTCTTGCGTTTTTTTAGCATCTCTCACCATGAGCACTGTGGTTTTAATACACCATATCTCCAGTTTAAAGTAGTTTGGCTTCATAAACGTGTCTTGATATCCCTTTCTTCTGTTCGATTCCGTTGTTTTTAGTAAGAACACATTGCCTGCACTCCATAAGTGTGGTTTACCAAAAGGCGTTGCCTAAAGGTACTTTAAGCTTGAAGTGCTCTGTTTAACATTTAGGTGGGGGGCATTATTAATTGCATATTTTGTTCTATTTAAAATAATACCACTAAATTAAACATGATATTGACAGCCCTAATTTAGGTGTAATTTTCTTTCTAGATATTACTTGCTGTCAGAAATGGCATTAACCAGATGTCCTTAAACACACATAATGAAATCAAAGCAAACCAGAAGTATAAGGTTATCAAAAACATGCATCTATGAATGAACAGAAGGAAAAGGTGTAAAACGATGCGGGGATGCCATGCCAGGAGACCTGCCAATCAATCGATCAATCAATCACAGTGTCACAAATCAAGCCAGGCACTGGTAGAGCTTGGAGAGGAGTATAGAAGGACAGACAGTAACCATTCCTACCATGCTGGATGCATCAGATTAAACCATGACAAAAATAAAGACAAATAAAGAAGAGGAATGTATACTGTGTGTAGTTGTATAAAACGTGAAGAGAGTGAATCAACTGAACCAAAAGAGTCGATAGTAAACGTAAATGCTCTTCACCTTAATTCTTCAGGTTGGAGCTGGTGACCTGCTGTACACTGGTTGTAAGCAAAATAACAAGGTGGACGGAGAGCATGTATTCACTATCTGTCCCTAAAAGTCTGACGTGGGCTATGGGACTTTGGTAAGGCTATGATCGAATGGGCGACGCGTTCACGGAACGATTCATGTGTCTACTACACCAGAACCCCACAGGACCTAACTGATATAATGAAAGGTGACTGCAGTTAGTGAAGAATTACAGTGAACAGCATTGCAGAAAACCGGCTCAACACAGGAGGAACACCAAAACAACAACACCAACTCAAACCAAAGAGGAAAAGAAAGAATTCATAAAGGGAAGGAGACACGGTTGTGACAAGTAAGCAGTGGAGCACATTCGCTGCAAAGATTAAAACAAAAAAGAAACATAACACGTAACGTGCAGATTCGACATGCAAAGCCCTCAAGCATTTGCCAGTGAAACCAAATAAAGACACAGAACCTAAAAATAACCAAGACTTCTCTAAGGACTTACTCATGTCAACCAAAGAGTGCAAAAGGAAAACAGCAAATCATTGCTGAAGCATTGCTGCCTGGCCACCACAGTCAGGCCCAACAGTGCAGAGAGGAGGAGAGTCTGAACTCCACAAACACTATTCAGTCCCACACATCATACCTCCTAGGTCAGTCAATCAATTGAGAAGGAAAAAGGACAAAGGCAGAGTAGTAGTGTGACAAAGTGTGACAAAGTGGCAGGGCAGTGGAAGCTCTCCAGACTCTGAGAAAGGTTAGCGTAGGTAACCCTCGGCAACGGAGGCGTGGAGGGAAAAGAGTGATGACAGAGGAGGAGAGTGAGTCAGGGGGGAGAGAGAGAGAGAGAGATGTGCACTGTACTGACCTTACACACACACACACATACTTCAGTTACAAACTGAAGAGTGAGAAGGGATATTCAGGTTTTGTGTGCATAAAAGAATATAATATAATGTAATGTAATGTAATGTAATATAATATAATATAATATATAAAAATTAAATAAAATGTTTCAACATTTCGTCCCCTTTGAATTATAAGGTTCTATCTGAATTCCAAATAGTTTTGAGATATTGAGCTTCAAAGTTTTTGCATTCCATTCGACTGTGTAGATAGAACCTTTTTGTTTTTTAAATAAAAAGTCCCACAATGTACACAACATTACAAAATCTATCACATAATGTAAATAAGCTGTCACAGAATAAGAATATGTGAATAACTCAATTTTGACAAAAATGTCAGATAGAACCTTATAATTCCAATGGGACGGTTTATATACTATGTGAATTAAATCAATAAATACATTTTTCATATTTTTCCTTTTTTTTGGTCCTAGATTTGTAATAAATATATTGTACTTCATTATATTTAAAATAAAGTAAAATAAAATAATAAAATAAGATAAAAATTCTTCAGCATTCATATTATGTGAATTAAATGAATAATTCGAATTTTTCCTGCATAGTTATTTAAGGTTAAAACTATATATATTTTAGCAAAATAGATTTTTTACACAGATATAAATATTGTGCTTATAACAATTTATTACATTTAATAAATAAAATAAAATAAGAAAATAATTTTTAAAATGTTTCAACATTCAAATTATGTAAATAAAATCAATAATTAGAATTTTATGACCTAGTTATTTTGGGTTAGAACTATATACATTTTAGCAAAATAGATTTGTTATACATATATACATATTGTAATTATAACAATTTATTACATTTAATACAATAAATAAAAAAAATAAAAAAAATACCAGAAAATAAAACCAATAACTAGAATTATTTTGGGTTAGAACTGTTCATTTTAGCAAAATAGATTTGTTGTACATATATACATATTGTACTTATAACAATTTCTTACATATAAGATTAAAATAAAATAATATAATATATAATAATAAATGTTTTTAATAATAAAACATTTGACCTATCTAGCTATTTTAGGTTGGAACTCTAGACAATTTAACAAAAAAGATTTATATTAAGCTGCTGTATATGCTACATTTAAATTCTTATAATACCCAACATAGGAGTGGGTGGCATTTAAGTCAAATTTATGATACAGTAATCTGCCCCAACACTGGCTTACTGTCTAAATCCACATTCCTAAGTGCTCTTGTGGTGTCTAGTGGCTTTTCATTGGGCCAACATCTGTTTAACGTACTAAATGTAGATTTTCTGCATACTCGATAGTATATCCCTTGTTCTCTTGTGCAGTGGAATGTATGTGTGGCCCACTCACTCACGGTCTTGTGGCACTTGACCTAGCAGCAAATATTACCATGGTTACCATGCATACAGATCAGGCCAACAACTTTAAGAGTGACAAGTGAACCATGACGCCCGAGGCGCCTATTGTGTCTCAATCTGCCCTCACTGACTGACAACCGGCCGCACTGCTGGGTCGCTGCTTGTAGGAACCAGGTAACAGTTGGGATGGAAAGAAAGAGGGAGGAGAGGAAGAGAATGAAGTGGGCCAGTGGTGATAAAAACCTTTCATGACATTAGGATCTGTGAGGTTCCGTGAGCAGATCATAGAGATCATTGCGTGAAGTCTATCTTCCTCCTCCTCATCGTCGTCCAGAGAGGGCGCACGACTGCCCGTGGTGTGGTGGTAGTTTATAGTGACTGCTTGGGCAATAAAAGAACACAGTTTAGCACCCGCCTCTGAAGCAAAGTCACGTTCCACTCACAAAAAATTTAAATCAGTACTTTTGTCTTGTTTTGCTGTATATAAACATGCTTAAAATGAGCAAAATTACATAACATATTAATACAGTATCTTACCAAAGTGAGTACACCCCTCACATTTTTGTAAATATTACTTTTGTGGCCAGCGGTTTAGACATTAATGGCTGTGTGTTGAGTTATTTTGAGGGGACAGCAAATTTACACTGTTATACAAGCTGTACACTCACTACTTTACATTGTAGCAAAGTGTCATTTCTTCAGTGTTGTCACATGAAAAGATATAATAAAATATTTACAGAAATGTGAGGGGTGTACTCACTTCTGTGAGATACTGTACTTGTTTTCAGAGAATGCATCTTGAATTAGCATTTATTTGAACTGTTTCTTCTTATTTTAAGCCTAATTTTAAGCCTTATTAAATTTAAGATTATTAAACTTCAATTTAAACGTTTAAAAAAGTTTTTTAGATTTATGATCAAAACAGAAAAAGGTCATCTTAAATTTTAAAATTAAAATCTTAAAATTAATTATAAATGAATAAAAAAGAATTTCAAATAATTCTATTTTTTTATTATTATTTGTTGAATTAAAAATGTAATTCAAGATATGTTCTTTGAAAACAAGGCTTTATATCTTAAGCGATTTTATTTCTCAAGTAAATAGATCGTGTTTTAAGAATGTTTGAATATTTTAACTGGAAAACAAGACAAAAAAGAAGATGATTTTTTTTTTTTGCAGTGCATACATACACACTATAAAAAGGAGCACTGTCATCCCAGTCAGAAGAGTTGAAAATCTAAAGGCTGCGTCTAATACTCACATCCCTCCCAGCAGCCTCCACAACGGCTGTTATGTTCCACAGAAAAGTGAGAACAAAACACACAGACAACAATGATATGCGGGGATGGTGTCTGATGCAGCCCTGTTCAGCATTCACACATCCGGTAAATCAGGTCTGGCTGAACAGTGGCTGCGAGTGATAGATGGATATATGAGTATTTAGAGGGTTTAAGATGTAGAATGGCCCCCCAAAAAGTACTTTTTTAAAGTCACACTTAAAATGATATGAATTTAATTCTAATGCAAGATTCATGCATTTTATGTGTGGCTTTGAAATGTTTAATGCTTTTGGGGTCACTGTGGATGGATGGGCGGATGGATGGACAGATATTGTGTGTGTGAAGAGAGACAGAGACAGAGATGTGAAGAGGACAGGCACATTTCTGCTGAAACTCACTTGAGTCATGACGGTGCCCCGGATAGACGATGCGAAACACATAGTCTGCAGCGATCTGCTCCTCTCCATCTCCATCCTGATCCACTAAACGGGCCGTGCTGTTCCTCTTACGAAGCTTAGGGAAGACTTTACCCTGTTAGGCAAACACAGAGAGTCATAATCAAACTAAACTCAGCTTCTCACATTTCAAATAAGGAACATTTTGTAATTAATTTGCAATGTTTCAACAAGCAAAAAAAACTAGAATATGACATTTAGCATTACATCACTTCCTCACCAGTGGATCCTCTGCAATGAATGGGTGCCGTCAGAATGAGAGTCCAGACTGCTGATAAAAACATCCAGAAGTAATCCACACGACTCCAATCCATTCAATTAACGTTTTGTAAAACAAAAAGCTGTGTGTTTGTAAGAAACAACAACATTAACTGATGAACTGGAGTCGTGTGGATTGCTTGTGGATTATTATGATGCATTAATCAGCTGTTTGGGCTCTCATTCTGACGGCACCCATTCACTGCAGAGGATCCACTGGTGAGCAAGTGATGTAATGCTACATTTCTCCAAATCTTTTCCAATGAAGAAACAAACTATTCTACACCTTGGATGGCCTGAGGGTAAGTAAATGTTCAGCAAAGGTTCAGCAAATTTTCATTTTTGGGTGAACTATTTCTTTAATGAATTGGACACATTTAAACATTCTGTTACATAATATATGTAATAACTTCTGCAGCAAAACACTCACCTTGCCCTTCTGGGACCAGAGGGGGGGCTCAAGCTGACCCCGGGGCAGTAGACCCGTCTCCAAACAGGACAGGAAAGCCAGCAGGTGACCCCCAGGAGGAAAGTGCAGAGGAGGCCGCTGGATCCCATCCTGACTTACTAACACCAGAGTACCCCCACAGTCCGCTGAGAGAAATTCACATTTATAAAAAAATATATATATATAACATAATATAACAAAATTATTAATCTGTGATAAAATGTGAATTTATGTGAATTTATTTATTTCAGTATCAATATTTGATACTGAAATATGTGCTACATTGAAGCTAACAATCTGGCAAATTTTATATATAATACAATATAATATAATATAATATAATATAATATAATTGTTGAAGCTAACAATTTTGTCAAAGATGTAGACTCACGGCGCTGGTGACAATGAATGCAGACGATCTGTCTTAAAGGCACAGTCAAAGCGTAGTCCCAATAAATACTAAAGTGTGACAAGAGGGTGATAAAAAAACATTGAGAAAGAGAGAGAAATTGAGAGAGCCTGAAAAGGTTTCTGTTAAAACAGATCAGTGACCTAATAGTCTTTTCAGTGAAATAATCAATGTTGTTTTGCTCACATTTAGATGTCTATTTGTTCCTTACAAACATATCAACCTTATCATTACACACCAGCAATCAGCACATCAGGACACTCAACTTATGCTTTTCCTGTCCATCCTCTGTAAAAGTAATTGCTTTGTCCTACCTAGCAATCTCGGACCAATCAATTCAGTTCCTACATGTCAAGCGCAGTTGTGGCAAAATGAATCGCAGTGATTGGTCATCACAAATCATAACTAACTCTTCTGGCCCATTTTACCTGATGACCTAATTTACCTGAATTCCCCGTGTGTGTGTGTACAGCATATTTTACCTCTTCTCCAGGTCACAGTCTCCCAGAGTTCCATTGATTAGCTGATTGGGCGTCCACTTCAGCGTGAGTGTTTCAGCCGTCTGATGAAGGGACAGGTAACCACGCAGCACCTCCATGTCCTTCTTCTGCAAAGAACAAAGTCTATTCAATAAAACACAGCGGCTTCCCCAACTCCTCTAAAATAACTAGCATAATCAGCAGCCTTACACACTTTTCTTTGTTTAGAAGTTAACATACAAGGAAAAGAGCAACAAAAAGGAGAAAAAGGTGTCAGATCAAAGAATGAAAGAAAAGTGAGTGTTATAAGCAACAGAGTGCCATAAATAAAATGTCTCTGACGATTCACGGTGATGATGAGAGCTGCGAAACGCATCAGGTTTCACACAGAAATCCAATTAAACCTGAATCACTGCAATCCTTTTGGCAAGGGTCGTTTACACTATTGATTTCTACAAGTCCTTGCCAGACCCAGCACTCTCTGTGCCCAGTTGCATCAGTCACCGTTGCAAATCTCACAAACACTTTCATACACACATCCAGTCCATGCCTGACTCATTTGATGACAAATCTAATGTGGTGTAATGGCTAATCCAGTCTGCCTTTTCCAGTTCACAAGAGTAGCCAACTAGCAGCCGGGAAGTCAGCATGGGCCAGGGAAAGCCATCTGACCATTCATTACACAAGGGAAGACAACATTTTGAATAGTTCTACCTACCTACACCACTGCGGCTCAATTCCCATAACCAGCAGACCTTGAGATCCATTATATTGATTAGATGAGATTCACTGATCTACAATCTCTTTTGTTACAGCCATCTAAAGATCTGTAGATGCAAATCAAACTAGTTTTCCTGTAAGTGTATTTGCATCTGTGTGTGTGTGTGTACACTGTCTTACCGGTTGAACGAGTACATTGTTTTTTCCGTAGAGCAAGTGAACACGTGAGTTTTGGTGCAGGGATTCAACGTACTCTCTGGCCGAGGCTGCAAACTTGTCCTCAGACATGCTTCCTGAGGACTGACGCTTTCGGATCTGAGGAAAAAACATGAATATGAGATATTTATGCAGTTTAAATTGATTATTTACTAAAACAAAACTACTGCACAATCACCCCTATACGTATGATATTCTCACCCCAAGTGCAGGCCTGCGGCCCGGCGACACTTCTTGGCCCCTGTGGGCCCCGTGAATGCGATGCCGCTGGACCAGCTCATTGGCTGATGGGTCTGTCCAGAAATGATCCGACGTCTTGAGCTTAGTGTACTCCAGAGCGCAAGGCCCAACTATAGATGAAAAAATATTGATTTCACATAAAACAAATTGTAATGTGATAAAAAAAAATGTCAGAGAGAATTATAATAAAATAATGAAAGCTAACACTATTTGAACAATTTTTTCACAATCTCTTTTCACTGAACATAGATCTCTTCAGTGATCTATAAATCTCTATTATAGAGATCTATATAGCTGCATTATGAGTAGATAGAGTGCATTTTATGCATTAGATAGACTCACCCAGCAGTGCTGCCAGTATAGGGCCAAACACTGAGTCGTGCATGAGGGCCTCCTTTTCATAATACTTACTACATACACACACAAACAGCAAACAAACAATGTGTACGTCAATAACCAGAGACCTCTTTCAAAGGCTGAACAAATAACACATTATTTCACGAGCTCCATGTGATAGTCCAAACAATCACCATGGACAAATGATAAATTTCAAGCCTTAATCTTGGCAAATAACACTTTGCATAAGAGAGATGAGCAATGCATGTTATGCAGTCACTATTATTTAAGAAAAAAATAGGCATACACAGATATTAAAATTCCATCTGATATCAATATGTTGATTATTTTAAAATGTTTCATGTTATGCTAATAACAGATAAATGTTTGGTATTAAAATTCTTTATTATTTTGACTAAATTAAAAAAAAAAAAATCACTCATAAATCAATCATTTTAAATATGCTAAAAGTGAATATAGGCATTGCAACATTATAATGTACAGTACAAAAAAAATGATTTTTCATTTCATTTTTTTCAAAATGTTTCATTTTTTTTTATCCTAAAAACTAAATACAAAGTTGCCGTACTGATGCTAATTACCTTGCATTATCCACAATATACTGCACAATTTTGTCCAGGACTTTATCAAAAAGGGCCGTGCGGACCCATATGTGCTTGATGGCCTGTGCAGAGAGTGGCTGAGGCGCTCGGCCAGCAGAGGAGCCCTGCCTCCGGAGGGGCTCCTGTCCTGTGCTCTGGGTTCTCCTGAGAAAGACCATCAATAATACATTCATGCACAAGAATGCAAGTGTATATAACAAAAATGCAAACAAAACATAAGCAAATAGAGTCATTACAAACCAAGTCTTATGTGACCAAATGGCACAATAGTAATAATTTGCACACATTTTCTCATCACTTAATAACAGTATTTATATAAATTTACAATTTTTCTTGGACATTCTCCCAACAAATTGCATGAATTTAAGAAAAAGTCTCCAAAAAAGTCACAAAAAGTCTGCTTTTTGCTATAACTAGGCCTTCCTTCAATCATTCTGTGCTTCTATTTTGTCCTCGTATAACCTGCTAAAATCCCATACTCATTGCCTGGCCTTATGAAAGAAGCAAGAGACACAAAAGGGATTATGACTGTGCCTGCCAGTGGGTGTTTCTAAGTGTTTGTGAGTCCATATACTTCTCCATACTGCATCTCGACAGGATGACCTGGCTGCTCATCTACAACTGTGCAGGAGGGCCAGCAGAAGTCACAAAGCCCACTCGAACCCCCTGAGCCATTCACCCAGTGGATACAACACACACATATTCACACAATGACAGGGACGGAGCATGT